TTTGGCTAGTTTTTAGCTTACAAAACCCATTCCATCTGTGAATAGAGATAATGAAATAATGCCTACATCTCAGGGTTCTTATGAGGATTATTGACATCCATACACCACAAATAGAGACAACTCCACATGCTGTCTCTATTTGTGGTGTCAGACACTGAGACACAATGGGGGAGTGAGATATATTGTATTCTCTGCAACATGAAAGGCTTGTCTAGGTCTGTGAATATTAAAGGCCATTCTCCTTTGGCTTCTCTGATGTCACATATTCTCACTTTCTCTTCTTACTTTCTGAGTTGCCCCATTTCCTTTGCTGGATTTCCCACAATCTGGCCTCTCTGTGGGACTTACTTTTTAGCTCCACTTTCTTTATACTTGCTCTTCAGGTGATTGTATTCATCCCAAAGATTTTATATATTGGTGACACTCAATTAACATATGTAACCCAGAATTGCCCTCTTGTCCACCCTTACATATATACCTTCTTATTTAACACTTGTACCTGGATGATTCAAAAACATCTCAATTTTAGCCAAGACTGGTTTGGCTCAGTGGATAGAGCGTCGGCCTGTGGACTTAAGGGTCCCAGGTTCGATTCCAGTCAAGGGCATGTACCGTGGTTGTGGGCACATCCCCAGTAGGAGGTGTGCAGAAGGCAGCTGATCGATGTCTCTCTTTCATCGATGTTTCTAACTCTCTATCCCTCTCCTTTCTTCTCTGTAAAAAATCAATAAAATATATTTTTTTAAAAACCTCAATTTTATCATGTTCAAAAGAAAATTATTAAGTTTTTCTGTTTCTGTACCAGTCTATTCTATTTCTTTTTTTTTAAAGTATTTTTATTGGTTTCAGAGAGGAAGATAGAGGCAAAGAGATATAGAAACATCAATGATGAGAAAGAATCATTGATGGGCTGCCTCTTGCATGCTCCCTAATGGGGATTGAGCTTGCAACCTGGGCATGATGCCCTGACTGAAATTGAACCATAACCTCCTGATTCATAGGGTAACATTCAACCGACTGAGCCACACCAGCCAAGCTCTATTTCTTTCAGTGGTACCTAAATACACTAGTTTTCTATTCTCAAAACCAAGGACCCTAATTCCTTTCTCTCTTACTATTCACACTCAGTCTATTGGAAAATCTAATTCATTCTACTTGCAATATATATCTGATTTTGTCAACTTCTTTGCATAGCTACTATTACCAATTATAGTCAAGTAACTGTCATCCTTACCTAGGTTAGCATGAGTCTCCTAATCAGATTTCTCCAGCCCATTATCCAGAACAATGAGCAGTTAGCGCATCTTTTCTAACATTGAATTTTGCCACTCACGTGTTTACATCTCCTCAATGGCTTTATATTGCACTTAACATCCAAATAGGATTTTATGAGATTCTACATGATCTGTCCTCTTATTAGCTTTTCAACCTCATCTTGTATCACTATCCCTTCCATTCTAGCCACACTTTCACATGACCACCCTTTTTATCCTTCATTTTATTGTTCTTTGCACTCATAGATTCTAGCTAAAGTGACCTTTAGAGAACTGATCTGTAAGCCCCAAGAATATAGGGAACAATTATACTTTGTTCTCTCTTAACTCTTTAATTCTCAAGAGAGAGTCATAGCGTAGATGTGTTATACATGTTAAATGAATTAAAGAATAAGTTCCTGGTGCAAAATGAGTGCTCAATGTAAGATAATGATGGTAATTACCAATGTACATCATTGTACTTCTTTGTTATACTATATAGTGTCTCCCACTCAATAGTTAATAGATATTTGTACAGTGAGTTAAATAATTAATTTGCTATAATAGGAAGACAGCATTTCAGTCTGGGTATATGCAACATGTTAAATATTATATATAAGTGTTAATCTAGTTTTATTAATCATCCTATCTAATAAAAGAGTAATATGCAGATTGACGATCACTCCAACACACAAGATGGTTGCCTCCATGTGGTCAAAGATCCTGCCCCCATGTGGACACAAGATGGCCACCACAAGATGGCCAGCAGGGGAGGGCAGTTGGGAGGTACCATGTCTGCAAGGGAAAGCAGTTGGGGGTGATCAGTCCTGCAGAGGAGGGCAGTTAGAGGTGACCAAGCCAGCAGAGGAGGGAAGTTGGGGCAAATAGGCTAGCAGGGGAGCAGTTGGACATCAATCAGGCTGGCATGTGAGTGGTTAGGGGGTGATCAGGCTGGCAGGCAGAAGCAGTTAGTGGCAATCAAGAAGGTAGGCAAGCAGTTGGGAGCCATAAGTTCTAGATTGTGAGAGGGATGTCCGACTGCCTGTTTAGGCCCGATCCCACCAGGATCGGGCCTAAACAGCAGTCAGACATCCCTCAAGGGGTCCCAGATTGGAGAGGGTGCAGGCTGGACTGAGGTTCACCACCACTCCCTCCCACCCCTGCTTGCACTGTGCCTCTAGTGTGTGTGTGTGTGTGTGTGTGTGTGTGTGTGTGTGTGTGTCTCCTATCTAATAAAAGAGTAATATGCAAATTGACCATCATTCCAACCCATAAGAAGGCTGCCTTCATGTGGTCAAAGATGGTTGCCTGAGTTGGACATAAATGGCCACCACAAAATAGCCAGCAGGGGAGGGAAGTTGGGGGCAATCAAGCCTTCAGGAGAGGGCAGTTAGGAGTGACCAGGCCGGCAGAGGTGAGAAGTTGGAGGCGACTGGGCCTGCAGGGAAGGGCAGTTAGAGGTGACCAAGCCTGCAGGGGAGGCCAGTTAGGGGCAATCAAGCTGGCAGGGGAGCAGTTAGGGAGTGATTAGGTTGGTAGGCAAAAGTGGTTAAGGGCAGTTAGGAAGGCAGGCAGGTGAGCAGTTGGGAGCCATCAGTCCTGGATTGTGAGAGGGATGTCCAACTGCCAGTTTAGACCCTCAAGGGTCCCAGATCAGAGAAGGTTCAGGCTGGGCTGTGGGACACACCCTTCTGTGCACAAATTTTGTGCATCAGGCCTCTAGTGTGTGTGTGTGTGTGTGTGTGTGTGTGTGTGTGTGTGTGTGTCTCAATATATAGGACTTACTTAAAATAGCTTCAATAAATAAAATGCATGGTACTGATATTTTAGTTTCATGAGTTTGATAGGCTGGTCTCTCATATCACTTTAATGCTTCTACATAATAAAAATGAGCCCTATTTTGTTATTGAATGTGCTCAGTAATATTCTAGATTTAATGATAAATTATAATTTTTTTTACTTTAGATTTTTATTTTTGTCTGCAGTAGAATTCACATGATCATGAAAATAAACATTGGTCCCAGGTCTTTGGTCTAAGCAGAATGTAGGGAAAGCTTGAGATATTCAGATAATGTCCAAATGAAAAAAATAAAAACTTCTCCTACATATTGCCAAAAACCTAGTTATTCTGGAACATCTAGTTATTTGAGGTGTTTTTAAGTTTTATTTTAGTGTTTGGCACTATATAGAGGGAGCCTTTCTCTGTTGCCATAGGAAACAGTAGAAGAAACATTGAAAATGAGGGTGAGAGTGATTAGAAATGTGGTTCAGATTATACTCATTTTGCATCTGGGCTAGATTTTTTGCAGATCTGATGAGTTTTGAAAACTATTAGTTCTCTTGAATAATCATGGTAATTGCTTGAATTCCTGAAGAAACATCACCTGTCTTTGAAGGAGGTGCTTAGGAAGTTAGTCACTTTAAAACAATTTGAGATCCTTGGTTGGCAGAGATGATAAGATACAAAATAAGTCTCTCATACAATCCTTTAAATAACCCAAGTCACTAATTTTTCAGTTCCTTTTTACAAATGATGCTAGAATTCTCTATAGGCAACTTGGGGAAATTTTTTCTTCTCTGGAGTTTATACTAAATAATGACAATCTTCATAGCTATAATGAGTTTCTACTTGGAAGGATAGTCCAAATATGCATTCTCCCAGCCCACTGACTCTTCCTGATGTGGATTTTCCCCCCCTCCATCAGAGATAGAGGACTGATCACTGGGAATTTTATTATAAGATTCTGTAATTATTTAGAAGACTCTGGAGAATCGAGAGGATTGACAGAGAATTTTCTGTTCCTCACTACCTAGCCATAGAATGCTCTTGAAAATTTACTAACAGAAAAGGCCATATCCTAAATATGTACAGCCCCATTCAATATATACAACATTTGCATGATTGATATCATATGTTGATTCCTGTAGGGCTGCCTAGCACATATTACCCCCCTTTTTTTTCAGATGAGGAAATTCAGGTACTGAGAGGTTAAACAATTTACTAATACTTCCTGATAGCAGAACTGGAATCTTAACCTGAATATTTTCTCCAAAAATCGGTGCTCATGTCACTATGCATGCTGCCGATATGTGGGACATTTACTCTGTGGCTCTTAAACCTCTTCCTTCTCTCCTGTAGAACATTGAACTTGGAAATGCCTATAATTGTCTTTGTCCTATCCTGTATGAAAATTAGACACAACACTTATTTATTGGAAATATTATTCAACTTTCTTTACATTACACTTGAAGAAGGGGTATGTAGACTTTCTTTAATTTTATCTTTATAATTGCATAATGCTGAACATTTGGAAAGAAACAAAAATAATTTCTAAAACAACAAATACCACCACCCAGCTCTCAGCAATGTTCAATTTTGGGGGGTTCATACTCCCTAAAGTTTTCTTTCCATAACGTAGTTTTGCTTGTATGAGGTTTTCTCTCACCTCATGGGAGAACATGGTTCAGCGTGCTACACATAAGGTTTCGTTTCCTATACTCCAGATGAACAAATGAAAAAAAATTAATCTAAGCAAAGAAGGATCAAGAAGCTACATCAGTTGCTTCACCACATCACAAAATTCACAAAGAAGACACAGGACAGTCAGAAAGATTTTTATATTCCCTTTTGCTTTCAAGTTATTTACATCATCAAAGACTTCTCTCTCTTTCCCCAATAGCACAGACCATCAGAGCTTTCCAAACTAGTGGCACTATTAATACCTGTGCTATTTTTTTTTCTTCCAGGTTTTGAAGATCATGATCACGTGGATTCATCTAACTAAACGGTACCTGGGGACATGGTGGTCCTTTAGAGAGCGCATCTAAATTACTGGCTAATTTCTTGGTTTGCCAACTCAGCGTAGGACCTTGTTTGATTCTCTCTATCAGAACTCTCCTAAGTTTTCCCCACCATGCTGTCTTTATTAGCTTGAACTCCTTTCCTAAAATGGTCCTTCTGTTGATCTTGTCAGTGCTGCTTTTGAAAGAAGATGTCCGTGGGAGTGCACAGTCTAGCGAGAGGAGGGTGGTGGCTCATATGCCGGGTGACATCATTATTGGAGCTCTGTTTTCTGTCCACCACCAGCCCACTGTGGACAAAGTTCACGAGAGGAAGTGTGGGGCAGTCCGCGAACAGTATGGCATTCAGAGAGTGGAAGCCATGCTGCACACCCTGGAAAGGATCAACGCAGACCCTACCCTCCTGCCCAACATCACCCTGGGCTGTGAGATAAGGGATTCCTGCTGGCACTCGGCTGTGGCCCTAGAACAGAGCATTGAGTTCATAAGGGACTCCCTCATTTCCTCAGAAGAAGAAGAAGGGCTGGTGCGCTGTGTGGATGGCTCTTCCTCCTTCCGAACCAAGAAGCCCATAGTAGGGGTCATTGGGCCTGGCTCCAGTTCTGTGGCGATTCAGGTCCAGAACTTGCTCCAGCTTTTCAACATACCTCAGATTGCTTACTCGGCAACAAGCATGGATCTGAGTGACAAGACCCTGTTCAAGTACTTCATGAGGGTTGTGCCTTCAGATGCCCAGCAGGCTCGGGCCATGGTGGACATAGTGAAGAGGTACAACTGGACCTATGTGTCAGCTGTGCACACGGAAGGTAAGTGTTCTTTTCTTCCGTGAAGTATGTCTTCTTAGGCACTCAGCAGCTTCCCAGTTAAAATGTCAGGTTTTGGAAGGTGAAAATATTCTTAACTGTTTGGGATCTTTTGAGTTGCCCTATTATTTATCATTAATAAAGAAGGAACTGGGTGGCACATGTATAGAGTGACAAAAATCTAAGATAAAGGAATGGTCATGTGGCCATTTGGCAAACTGGATTTTTTTTTTTTTGATTGTGTATTTCATTATTTGCATTTCTGCTATAATACTGCTAAAGACTTTAAAGTTGTTTAGCTCTTCATTGAATATTTCGTGTTAATAACAGGAAAAACACTGACAATTGGTGAAAATTAAGAAGGGGTGGATTTTCAGCAAAAAGCATGAGAAAACATAGGAAAGTGAGATAGTAAAATAATGTGTGTGTGTGTGTGTGTGTGTGTGTGTGTGTGTGTGTGTGTCTGGGGGGGGGCAAGGATAAAGGTATGTTTTAGTTTGCTTCAAAAAAAATCAAGATTTTTCGGAACTTCCTTGTAGATTCCAAAGAGAAGAGCTTGGTCATTATGTGAGGGATGCTTATCCAATATATTCTTAAAAAAGAAACTTATCATCATGACTACAGGCTCTTACTAATTTAAACTGTTTTTGTTTTGTTTTTTAACTAAAATGTATACCAATAGTAATCCAATAAAATAAATAAATCATGATGCATCCAATGTATTATTAGATATCTATTAAAATTAATGAGGCATTCTATTGTGAGATCATAATTATCTCCACGATCATTTTAAGTGAAGACAGTGCGCAGAATTTCTATATGTATGGTATGTTATTTGAATTTATAAAAAACACTTGATTGGATATTCATAGAATTGCTCTTAGAGCAGAGCACAACTGATAATAATTACTCCTTCTGGAGAGGAAATTTAAGTGGTTAGAGGATAGGGTGGAATAAATGAAACTTATATAACTTTTACATGCAAATACTTAAAGCTATATATTGCACACACAATGTATCACAACAGAACGATTAAAAGAAAACAAGGTTTTGTTTTGTGGGGGGCAAAAACTAAGCCAAAAATATCCTATCATCAAATTTAGACAAATTTAATTATTTTGCCATTAAGCCAATAGAAATTTTGTTGCCCAATTCTGGCAAAATGTTTGGATGATACCATCAGGATTTAGGAGGAAACATATTTTGAATATGTACTTTTAAAGACTGGAAGAAATACTTTTTGGTTTATCATTTTTATGTATTGTAGTTTAGTGAAGAAGCGTTTATATTGCTGTGATTGTAATCAAGTGCACATAGGGATAATGAGGTTACATACTGTTCCTTCTTATGGTTTACCAGAGTAGGAGGAGTGTGGTAGAAAGTCTCACAAGGTAAAACTCCCCCAGCATGAGAAAAGTGCTGGAGTAACAAGATGCAACTCTGTTAGAGCTTCTAGGTGATGCCTTGCTTTCTGTTGTTGGGTCCTTTAGGAAGTCAGTTCCTACTTGAGCCTTCTTCTGGTTGGATTGGAACAATTCTCTCTAGCCCTTGAGCATTCAGTCCCTATATCCCAAATTTATTCCTGTGTCCTTATAATTATCCTTTGTTCAGTCGATATTCCTCTTCCTTCAAGAATATAGACACTCTCAAATGCTTTTACATAAGGCATTGAGATCTATGAAAAGATGTCCCATTTAAAAAACAAACACTTTTTATCCCCCAAATTGCCCATGTCAGTACCTTGTCACTCAATCCTCTTGTTAGCTATCACAAAATGTTTTTTTGGAGAACAAGTATGCTATTATAGAATTTCAGAAAAGAACAAAAGGTGACTTTGGTTTCAGCTTCAAGGTTAATCTGTTACACTTGCTTTTTCCTTGAATTATGATTTTTGTAGGCCAAAGAACTGTGCATTTACTGTGGCTTATTGTGTTATGCAGAAATTGTTCCTGGGCATTTTAGGCAAAGAGATAAATAGTATGAAAAGGAAAACAAAACAAAAAAGAAGGAAATGAATTAAGGGCAGACAACATTAGCTCTTGAACTATATGAAGGAAAGGAACACGCAATGACTCATTTTTATTACTTTTTCACTCCTTTAAATGAGTCAGTTATTAGACCCTGTCTTTGCTCTAAGAAAATGTAAGGAATTCTTTGCTTCAGTACTTTTGCAAACCTTAGTACATATGCCCATTAATGCTCAAGATCAGCGGTGCTCACCTATGAAGGGGTGGGCAGATGGACCGTTTTGGCTTTGATGACTTCCATTCATGATTCCCTTTGCTTTGTAAGTTGATAGTTCCCTTCCACTGTCCTGCCACACTAGTCTGTGTCTGCCTCAGTCAATAGAATCTGGCAGAAGTGAGTACTCCCTTCCTAGTCTCTCTGTCTTGGAGCCCTGTCCTCACCCTGTGAAGGAAAAGAGCACCCAGGTGTTCTAGATGAGACCTGGTAAGGCCACTTGACCTCAACTATGTGAGAGCACCCAACGAAGAGCAGCTCAACTCCCTTCCTTGCCCACAGCTATTTGCAGTCACACAGGAAATACCAGCTGAGTCTTAACTGGCTTGGCTCAGTGGATAGAGCATTGGCATGTGGAGTGAGGGGTCCCAGGTTTGATTCCAGTCAAGGGCATGTACCTTGATTGTGGGCACATCCCCAGTAGAGGGTGTGCAGGAAGCAGCTGGTCGATGTTTCTATCCCTTTCTTTTCTTCTCTGTAAAAAAATCAATAAAAGGTATATTTAAAAAATAAAAATAAAAAAGCCCAGTCGAAACTGTAAACATTACCCAGCTTACCATACATTTATGAGCAACAGTAAATTGCTTCAGTATAAACATATTCATCTCAATGACTTTAAATTTTAATCCTCCCCCCAAAATGGGATACGGCTACAATGTTTAAACCTTAAAAAAAATTTTTTTTAAATGTATTACTCTGCATTAATAGTCTTGATATTTAAATGTGAAAGAAAACGAATAAATGCTGTGGGCAAGAAGAGCATTTTAAAATGCTTCACTCATACTTTTGTAACTAGAGATTTGATAATTCCCGAAGCCCGAATACTTGGAATAGTCACACACTTGCATATATCCCATGCTTCCTCTTGATCTAGCTTCATTTTATTGAGAAAAGTAATGATAGATTGTATTTTATACACAAAGCCATGAGTATTGTACTTTACAGGTGACATACAGGATTTTCACAACACAATTTTTGCTGACTTGAGTTGAAACTTCACTGTACATCCCCCAGGCCTATCAGAGTGCCTAGCACATAATAAGTGCTCAAGGGTGACTTTGTGCTAGAATACTACCTAGATCACTGTTTATGAACATATAGCATGTGGATAAATAGAAGACACATAATTTTTCAGTTTTCTTTCTTTAGAAAAATGAAATGCCAAAATGCCTCCCTTGATTAATTGCAAAATGTTATTCACACCCTATTCCATTTTTTGTTTGCACTGGCTCTTGAATTTATTATTCCACCTAATGATAATGGAATGCTAATTTGTTCTAGCCAAAAAATATGCTTAGTTTAACTATTTAAAAAAATGGAAATATATATCCCCTATCATACATTTCCTGTTGTGATTGTATCAAAACAACAATTTAGGTTGAAAAGAACAAAAATGTCATTATGGACTCTACTGGGTAATTTAAAAAAATATATTTTATTTTCCTTCTCCAAGGGTTAAGTAGTGCTAAGAGTTGAGGTGAATTTTGAGATGATCATGATGATAATTCAGACACATAAACTACTGATCACTTTTAGAATGTTAACACTGGAAAAGTCTTAGATGAGCATTTAATCTAACCCTTTTATATTACAGTTGAGAAAACCAAGACAGTTGGGACAAGTAATTTGGCCTTCCTGGTACATAATTCTTTACAGACTTGGGTCTTAGAACTCAAGATTACTGTATAGAATTTTGCTTATGCATAATTGTTAAACATAATTACTGAACTTCTTTATTTTTGCCATTTTATGACATTTCCATTTTATTGCTCTCCTCCTTTCCCTTCATCTGAATGATGCCAATATGCTGAAACTCTTAATGCTCATTTTAAATAGTAGCAGTGACCAAAATGACTTGGTTTATATAAAAATTAGCTTTGAGAAATAATATTGTCCCTTTGTTCTTGACTTGTAAATTTGATGAAGTACTTCTTTGCCTGAACCATATTAAGATTTAAAGAAATTCTGAAATATTTTTCTTTGCTTTATAAACTTCCTGAAAACATTAGATCCATAAATATTTGTAAGCGTGAGTTGATTGGATAATTACATTGGTTGTCACTGACAAAACAATACATAAAAGCCAGAAGATGAAATAACTTTTGAATAGATTCTTCATTACATTAGATTAGGGGTGTCGAACTCAATCAGAGAAGGGGCCAAAATCTAAAATCCAGCCTAAATCGCGGGCCGAATGGTTTACTGAACAGTCATAAACTGTCATTGTGATGGAAACGCAGCGGAGTGCAGTGATGACAGCACGGTGCGGGCCACATTGTAAGGCCTGGCGGGACGGATTTGGCCCGCGGGCCTTGTGTTTGACACATGTGCATTAGATCATAAATCCATAATTCGGAAGATTCAGTGAAAAATCTATACTAATAATAGAGGAATATGCAAATTATCTTTTACATCATCACGTCACAACCAGATCAGCAGGCTGTGTCCCCATCCTCTGCTCAGGCAGCTGCAAGGCCAGGAGTAGGATAGGATACGATAGGAGGGGATAAAAAAGGAGAGGGAAAGGAAGGCAGGCCTGCATGCAGATAGGCAGAGAGGAGAAACAGGAATACAGAAAGGGAACAAGAAAAAGATGCAGGAATGGAAAAGGGAAGGAAATGTGGGGCTGCAGGCAGGAGGGGATGGCAACCGGGAGTGGGGGAGCAGGTGCCCTGGCAAGGGACAGGGTGAGAGCCCTGCCCAGATGCAGGAGGATGGTGATGACACCCCACCCCGTGGGCACCATTGACAGAGAAGCGCCC